TGAGGGGAGGGGTTTGTTTTGTTTTGTTGTTGTTGTTGTTTTACAATGCTGGGGATAGAACCAAGGGTCTTGCACATACTAAGTAAACCTTCTACTAGTAAGCTACATCATCAGCCCTGATTCATTTGCTGTTTTTTTTTATATTTTTAAGTACATTTAAGTGTGTGTGTGTGTGTGTGTGTGTGTGTGTGTGTGTGTGTGTGTGTGTGTGTTGGTCCTGAACTCAGGACCTGGGTACTGTTCTTTGGCTTTTTCACTCAAGGCTATTACTTTACCACTTGAACCACAGCTCCATTTCTGGCTTTTCTGTACTTAATTGGACATAACAGTCTCATAGACTTCCCTGCCCAGTCTGGCTTCAAACCACAGATCCTCAGATCTCAGCCTCCTGAGTAACTATGATTACAGGCATGAGCCACTAGCACCTAGCAAAAAGTACATTTTTCTAATTATATGTGTTAACTACACTTCCAAATAAACATGTCCTCTAGGGCTGGTATTGATGAAAACAATGGTTGGGTTCATGCAATGCTTTAAGAAAGGTTGAATCATTTCAATTAACAGGTTAAAAAAAGTGTTTTTTAATCAACACAGCAAAGTGAAGAGCTGAATTACTCATTAGAATCATCGATTCTAGCTCTTGATAGTCAGAAAATGAGTGTCCGTGGGGGTTTTCTGGAGAGTCCATAGCAAGTTCAGATCTTTCTCACAAGGAAAAATGAAGCTAGCCACGCCTGGCTTTCTTGGTGCAGACATTGAGCCATTATTCAAAGTCTATGGAGAAATCTACCTAAGTAGAAACCCCATCTGAGCACAAGAAACAGGCAGACTCATTTAGAGAGTTTCAGAATTCACTGTCCCATTTCAACACATTTTCCTACAACTCATCAAGTAAGAATGATCATCTCACTTTGAACCATTGATACGTGTTGTGATGTTACTCTTACACTATAGAACTACTGCGGGCCATAGCCCCAAAACATAGACACTGTCGCCCCCATTTTACAGATGAGGAGGGAGGCAGAATGTGCCAAGCTCATTCCACGAGTAGATGGCAGGTCAGAGATTCGGGTTCCCTTGTGTCTGACTCCAACCCTACACTACAAATTCTGCATCTCTGTATTTTGTTGTTTCCCCATTTCAAGTTTTCCAAAATACATGAAGTAAGTCAGGCTCCGAGAGACAAAGGATGCCTAGTTTCTCTCACAGGTAGAAGTTAGATCTAAATAAGCTAAATACCATACATGAAACTATATACAGGGCTATATGCTGATACACACAAACTGACCAGGAATGGTATCCAAGGGGGAGGATTCCAATGGTGTAACCTCTATGAAGAACAAAGTTACAGGTTAACAGTTGAAGGTTAAAGAGAGGAGGCCTAGAAACATGAAGAGAGGGGGCAAAAATAGTCATGGTACACAAGGTACACATGTGAAAATGGAATCAGGGAACTTGAGGGGAGGGGAAGGATTGGGAGGAATGGGGAGAAGGTAATGAAAGGGGTGACATGAATCAAGATACAATTCATTTACAAACTGACATGTTTCAATGGAATCCCTTTGTGTAACTACTTGATAATAACTTTGTGTGTGTTGGTCCTGGGACTTGAACTCAGGGCCTGGACACTGTCCTTGTGTTTTTACACTCAAAGCTAGTGTTCTACCACATGAGCCACAGTTCCAATTTCAGCTTTTTTGCTGGCTAATTGGAGATAAAAAGTCACACAGACTTTCCTTCCCCGGGCTGGCTCTGAACCACGATCCTCAGATCTCAGTGTCCTGAGTAGCAAGGATTGCAGGAGTGAGCCACTAACCTAGCAGAGAGTCGTTTGGGGGTTAAACATACAGTGAAAGCAAGAAGGAAGAAATTATGTGTCAATCAACCAAGAGTTCTGTACTCTAGCAGTACAAAACAATCTATTCTTTTGTGTGTGTTGCAGGGCAGGGGGGGAGGGGGAGAGTCAGGGAGCTTGAACTCAGAGCCTGGGTGCTGTCCCTGAGTTTTTTTTAATTCAAGAGTAGTACTCTACCACTTTGAGCCACAGCTCCACTTCTAGTTTTCTGGTGGTTAACTAGACAAGAGTCTCATAGGTTTTCCTGCCTGAGCTGGCTTTGAACCATGATCCTCAGATCTCAGCCTCCTGAGTAGCTAGGACTTCAGGCTTGAGCCACCAGCACCTGGCAAAACACCCTAGTTTTACGCTCCAAGGAGCACATGACAATCCATCATTTCACATGGTGTATGGACTTCTTTCTCCCAATGCACGCCAACATTCCCAGCTTCCCTAAGAGCATAATGAGGCAGCTCTCGGTGGCTCCTTGGTCCTGTAATTATCCCCACGCAGCTCCTGTAATTCCTTGCTCTGCTGCCTTCCCTGAGCTCTGGGCTGGGAACACGGCTACCTGAATAAGACCTGCCTTGCCCATGATTCCTTGAAGCAAGGCGCCAGCTCTGTGGTTAAGTTATAGCTGAGAAAACATGAAAGCTAATAGAAAAACTGACCGTGAGCCTACATGCTTTGTCTTTCCTTATCCCTTCCTGCTTACTGCTGGCTGACAAGGATATGGTGATTGCAAAGGCCAGTGTCTTCCTGAACCATAAGCTAACTCACTAGGGGTGGTAAGACAGGAAGCTGAAAGGAACAGGGTTCTGGATGGTTGACTTCAGTACCAGAATAAAGCCTTCGTGTTTCTCATTAAAATGCTAATCCCGACTGAGCAGTGGTGGCTCACACCTGTAATCCTAGCTATCAGGAGGCTGAGACCTGAGGATCATTGTCTGAAGCCAGTGTGGGCAGGAAAGTCCATGAGATTCTTATCTCCAATTAACCACCAAAAAGCCAGAAGTGGACCTGTGGCTCAAGTGGTAGAACTCCAAACTTGGGCAAAAAAGCTAAGGGAGAGCACAAGATCCTGAGTTCAAGCCACATTACACACACACATACACACACACACACACACACACACACACACATACACACACACACACTATTTCTAAAGCAGTCATACTTCATTATAAAACTTTAATTCTGATATTCTTTGTCTCATGACACCATTATTTCTAGGCTTTAAATAAAACAATCTTTTGCTTCAGATTTGCCCACGCACACTCACAAGTGACTATTCCAGCCATCAGTGACAGTACAGCAGGTGGTACAGCACAGAAGAAGGGGGGGGAAGGTCTAAATATCTCTGACCTCAGCAGGAGACAAAGTCAAAAATGGACTTGTGGAAGTTAAAAAAGCAAGCCTCGAAGAAGAAATTACACATTCTGGCCCCGAGATGTCATTAGAACTTTAAGGGAAAGTCCTAGAAAATGATACAAACTGTTTGGATCACAGGGACTGGGGGAGCCCTCTGGTGTGGTGCATGAAATTAAGTCTCCAGGTCTTGGTGAGAGAGGTTTCAAAGGTCTAGAAGGCAGCCAGCTGAACTTGCCCCAGACCCCACAGGGCAGCGGGCCACAGAGAGGACAGCACACCGTAACTCCCAGGGGCTCCTCCATTCAATGATGCCATCAGCCAGGGTTCTGTCTCTTCAAGCTCTTCAGCTGGCAAATGCATTCTTCTCCTGACTTAAACCCAGTCCCCCACCAATTTGACCCCAAGACATACCCAGGAAAATGCCATTTCTCACCAAACTCAACTACACCTGGCTTCAAAGTGAGGAAAGGGAAAACACACACATGCACACACACACACATACATGTACACACAAATTTGAGCCAGGTGCTGATAACTCATGCCTGTAATCCTAGCTACTCAGGAGGCTGAGATCTGAGGATTACAGTTCAAAGCCAGCCCAGGCAGAAAAGTCCATGAGACTATTCACTCCAATAAACCAGCAAAAAAAAGGCAGAAGCGGAGGTGTGGCTCAAGTGGTTGAGCACCAGCCTTGAACAAAAAAAAAAAAAAACTAACTAAGGGACAGCACCCAACCGACAAAGTGAGGGGTAGAACAGGATGGACCGAGAGACTAAATAGTGACTAGGTATCTCGTCTCCATGAAAGTCACTGCCTCCATTCCAAACCAAAATTCTATCATGAGAGTGGAGGACCCTTTCCCAGCCAAGCCAAAGTTGAAAATTCATCTATGTACACATATATGTGCAATCTTCCCATCCTACAACATTAACATCCAATTCATAAAACCTCGCAGACATCCTACCAGTGAACCCATTTATGTGTAAGCCGGCTTTGGAGAGCCAATCTGTAACCCATCTTTTCGCTAAGGTCGACCAAGTCACTGGTAGTAACTCAAAGGCTGAGCGTCTTTGGTTAGAGCGAAGAACCTCCAGACAGCCAGACACACAGTCTCCAAGGTCATCAGTCTTTGGAAGGCTTTCCTGTATCTCTCCAGAAGACAGAAAGGGCAACTAACTGAACCCAGGATCTGAGAGGCGCCCCATCTGGAACCACTTCTTTCAAAAGGAGGGGTTGGGGAGGCCCAGGGGAACCACCGTTGTTTTTCTAGGGGATGCGCCATCTGCAGAGGAGGCAGACACCTGCAGAGAGACCTCCATGAAGCAGGGACGGGCAAAGCCCCACTGTGCAAGATGAGGGAGACCTCCTTGGGTGAGCAGCTGGGGGGGGGGGAGGGCTGGAATTAGGCCAAAAGGGACCTCCCAGTAAGTGTCCCCAGGTCCCTTACTCCTGAAGCAGAGTGGTCGAGTTATGGCTGAGAAAGCCTGTCTAGGCTCTATTGCAGCTGGGAGGAGAGAGAGGTGGATGCCCTTTCTTGACATTTAGGGTCTCCCTGCTCTACCCCTTTTCTTGGATCGCTGCCTGCCCTCGCCCCAGGCATGCGCGCGCGCGCACACACACACACACACACACACACACGCACACGCACACACACATTAACAAAAACCTTAGGTGGTAAAGTCTGAGTGGCTGCGGGCGCTGACCGGTAGGATTACTTCACTCTACCTAACTCGGGCACTTTGATAAAGTCTTTTTCACCCTCTCTTCCTGAAGCACCAGCGTCCTCGGAGCCTACCTTGACACTGGAATCCCTGCTTTCCGAAGCCCCTGAAAAAGAAAAAAGAGATCTGTCAACCCAAGAAGTGTAGCCACCGCCGATGGCCCGTGGGGTGGCCTCCCAGCCACAGGCGGATGCCCGGGGGGGGGGGTGTCTGCTGCTTGACAGGGGCACGAGGGGAGGGGGGCAACCAGAGTAGTAACCCCCACCTCCTGTCACCCCAGCGGAAGACGAGCACTCTTAGAGGGATGGCGAGGGGAGGGAGGGCATTTCGGTGGAAATGAGGGGTGCAAAGCAGGCTGGAGATCTTTTTAGGGAGATCTCCCCACGGAGTACCCTCTGGGCATGAGAAAAAGACTTCATCCAGAAAAGACCCAGGAGAGGGCCCCACCAGGGTGGTGTCGTCGTCCCCCCCCTTTCCCGAGACCCTGTGAAGGGGAAAAGGACACGGGGTGCGGGAGAGAGGGGGGACCCGCAGCCACGCCAGGGTGAAGAGAGAGGACCCAGGCCCGGAGAGGGGGAAAAGAGGCGCAAGAGAAGAAGGGGGGGGAAAACCACCGCAGGGCAACTCCGGGTATGGGGAGGGGGGTCCCCAGGGGCAGACAGGACACCCCTCATGCGTTCATGGGGGGGGGACAGTCCACGCGAGCCGCCCCCTCCCCGGGCAGTGCGGGTGAGGGCGCCCGGAGTCCCGGAGGAGACCGAGGTAGGGAAGCCCTGGGGCGAGCAGGCGCTGCCCGGCGGCCCGCGCTCCG